TAACTGAGCCTATTTTGTCTGCATGTCCTTTCAAACTCATGATTGACTTGTGATCATACATCACCAGGAGGGAATTTTTTCCTCCCTGGTGAGACACCGACCAGCGTATTGCTTGTTGACATATGTTTAATTGATTAAAAGAGGCCTGCTGTGATTTCTCCGTGTTTTTGTTTGAAAAGGCCAGGGTTCTGACAGAAATGCTCCTGGAAGTATTGCATTTGGCTGCGAGCTCTGGTTCCCATACATGAGAGCACTGAGCCTAATTCAAAACGCCTTGGACACAAGGCTGACTGTTGAGCCAGTAGGAGAGGAGAGATAGCTGTAACCTTGCATTGAACTCCCAAGAATTTCAGCGTGCTCCTTGGATTGCAGCAGAAAATACTTGCAACAGTTGCATGATTTAATGGGCGACTTTCAAAGCGCAGACTCCTCTTAGCAGAGGGCTGGGTAATGAAATAGCTTTTCCATTAGAGAGGAACAGTTACCTGATGAAACTGGCATTGCATTGTCTGGAAATAGGGATGGATTTGGTAGTCAAATTCTGCTGAGTCCCTCACATACTTTACATACTTAACTCTGTTCCTGCAAATACACAAAGCCTGAAAAGAGAAGTTCCTACCACAGAGAGGGAGTTAAGTAAAGAATGGGCAGTAAAGGCAGGAGAAAAGTACCAACGATATCAATTGTTAACCCATTGTTACTTATCAAGATCCATGACTTACTATGTTCAGGTATTATATTATACAACAAACTTCCTCAACACACAGTAATTCAGCCCATATGTTACTCCATCTACTCTCGGTGAATGACATTTTTAGTCTTTGATGACCCCTGACTTTTCCTCTAGATCTAACACAACATTATTTCTAACTTTTTAATTAAACACGACTGTTAGTTGGGTTGTTACCTCATTTCTTAAACCTTCTCTACCAGTATTGTTCGTTTTGATCAGGGCTTATGACCAAATAATAGCATGCTGAAACACTAACGAAAAGGAAAATGCAAAAAACTCGTCTCCCAGTGTTGAATTTATGTTTGGCGCCGATAGCTCATAATCACTCCCTCAATAAGGAAATAGAGAATTAAAAATAGCTCCTCTCCAACGTTCAGGCTTGAGAAATAAGTGCCGGCATTCCCCCTATCCACTTGCTGTCATGTGTGGTGCGGCCAGTATCAGCAAATCATTGACTATTAATTGCTGCAAACCTGTGTCGTCGTACAGCTTTGCTTTAGTTTGTGTCCTGCACTCTGCCGATTACACCGGTGCAAAGTCTCAAATGATAGCACGCTTATATATTACTCCTTATCAGCGAGCGTTGAAGTTTTTATTCAAGGCTAATAGCAAATGAAACACGCTAAGATACTTCCTTCACTATATATTGTTATTCTATCTACTTGGATTGGGTGTATATGTGTCTGCAGACACCAAAGTACATGGGGTATGGCATGTTATCGTGTTAATTCCAAAGCTTTGTCATTGTAGGCTTTTAAAAATCAGATTGAGGTTTTACTAGTGTTACCCGGATATCACGCCCTGTTAAATTAATAACAGGACAAAACATAAGCATAGCACTAGGCTATATTGTTGTCCTGGCTCAGTATGGTATCACTGGTACTAATGTTGAATATATTGTTTTAGAGAGATCAAGCCCTCTCAACAGATTTCCCTTCCTGTCTGACTCAACGCTCCATTACTGCATGACTCCTCACATGAGCTCAGATTACATTAATCCTGCAATTTGTTTTCTTTTGTTAATCAGATATTGTGATGTATGATAACATGTCTGCTTTTGTATCACAGAATTATCCAATCATGGCATGATAGTTATTGTATGCCACATGTCCAGTATCGTGTTGTGTCAACGCTATGTCATATGATATCGTATTGTATCATGTTGCATTGTACCAAACGTATCGCATCATTTTGTATCATACCATGTTGCATCGTATCAATTCACATCATATCGTCTTGTATCGTATCACATCGTACTGTATCACATCGTATCGCATCATATTGCATCGCATCACATATCATATCACATCATAAAGTATCACGTCCTATCGTATCATATCATATCACAACCTTTAACATTGTATTGTATTGCAATTTTTCGTATCATATCATATCGCATCGTAGCATATTGTATCAAATTGTATTGTATCGCATTGTATCAAATCTTATAATATCGCATCATAAAGTATCATATCACATCATATCGTATCACATTGTATTGTATCGTATCAATTCTTATAATATCGCATCCTAAAGTATCATTTCGTATCGTATCATATCGTATCACATTGTAAAGTATCATTTCGTATCGCATCATATCTTATCACATCATATCACATCGTATTGAATCTTATCAAATCGTATCACATCGTATCGATTCACATTGTATCGTATCACATTGTATCATGACTTCTCATCTGATGTATCACACGATATACCCTGGAATTTTTCCCCATTTAAAATGATACGACTCAGACTCCTCATATTTGTCAAAGGGAGGTTATGAAGAATTACCCACACACATACAGCTGGTTCTCTTCTAAAAGTTAAATGTCTTTAAGAACTACATAGGTCTTTTTTTACGTTTATTTTTAGGATTTATCCTCCAGCGGTCATGCTAAAACCTCCTTCAAAAATACATTTAATCCTACTCTGTTTTAAAATGACCTCAATCTCTCTGTGTGCCTAAGTGCAAGTTTGGCACACGATTCAGAGCAGCAAGTTCCCAGCAGTCTGCACCTTTTAGGAGAAACAACAGATTGAACAAACACAACACTTGACCAACTTTTTCACAGGCAGGCCAGACATCTAATCCCAACATGGCTCTATTTGTCTTGAATGTTTGCATATCAAAGTAGATCTTTATTTACTAGACTTGCACAGTCGGAGACGAAAATATTCTTTTTTTTAAAAGTAGTTTCCCCCTAAATCAGAAACACTGCTAGTAGCGGCAGAAATGACCCAAGTTCAAATTTAGGGTAAAAACAAAAAACAAGTGTGTCATTTTAAGTGATAAAATCCTTTAGCTTTTTTTAGCACGACTGCGTTGGGGAAATGTGTAAAATTCTGGTGTATTAAAGGTTAACAGGTAGTTGCTTGTAAAGGAACTTTCCCTTTTTCGTCACACCAATGCCCTCTTTCCTTTTTTCTTTTCCCGTGCTTTCAACCTTCCATTAGCTCCTATTCCTGATAACTTCCTGCATTCCTCACAACAAACACACACACATACACACACTTTTTCTCTCACACATGCACACACACTTAAGAGTAATGCCAAAGATATGCTTCCCACCCTTTGATTTTTACTCTTCTCCACCAGAGGTGTCATACGTTCCAACGCCCAGCCTTCCCTGAACACCCCTCCACTGTTCCTGTTAAAGAAACACAGTGACTATACTCAGCGATCTGATGTCATCTCTTCCCCGTGTGAGACTGTTATTCATTTTTTAATAACAGTACCCTTACGAGAATTTTATTATTAGAAGAAGAGGGGGTGTGTCTTATTATTACATATTATTTTCTACTTCTGAACCTCACTGTTGTGTGTAACAAACTTCCTGTGAGTAAGAGAGTTGAAGATGTCACAATGGTGGAGGAGCATCTTTATTCTATCTTGCACAGTCGTGTTTGCTCACTGAGTGGGTGCAATGCTCTGCTGACAAAGCTGTAAAGGGACCTTAAATGTGTCACATAATCTCTCTTTCCATAACAGATGTTTTGATGGTATTTCAGCTAAAGAAAGAGTTCAAAAACAGGACAGCAATCATGTTTTTAAGTGTCTATTTTTCTCCCAGAATGTGCCCCCGTGTCTGTCGAGGAAACTCCAAAAGGGCTGAGTCAGAGATCCCATCTCTTCCGGAGGCAGGGCCAGCAGTGCTCTCCTTTGAAAGGCAACATGGAAAGATCAACGGGTATCTCCTGAGGGAGCCACTGGGCATTAGAGTGCTGCTGCCCCCATGGCCAAACAGCCCTGAGGCCTGTGGTCTGCTGCTGCTGGGTTAGCAAGCTCTGTTTACTTTTGGAGGACTTTCAACCCTGTGCGGCAATCAGGATCTCTGTAGTCTCCCTGTTTGTCTGACTCTGCCATGCCCTCTCCCCCCTCTTTCTAGGATTAAGTCTCTAATTTTTACAACATTCCCACCATGCCCCAAAACTGAAACTCGGTGACAAACACCTAGAATAAGTTTTTTTATCACCCTAACGTTAGCATCACTTTGCATGACTCTGGCTGTCTCTGTGACCCTCTGCTCTTGAACATCTATTCAGATGAGAGCACATGCAGGGAGGATTGCTGTGCCGTTGTGTTTATATTTCCTCCCTCACAGCACCATGGATACCAGTCAGGCAGTGCCAAGGTAGGACCACCTCATAAATTCACATACCCATAAATATTTGCCCGTGTTTTGAGTTCAACACTAGTTTGCATTTACACATCTAAAGGTGGTTTGGTCATTTATCTACATGGAAGCTCAAGAGTTTAATCCCTGGTGGTCTCCACATACAAATTGCATTTTATATAACACTAAGCAGCGAATGAACTGACGTTTCCATTTTTGCCTCACTATCAAACCTGATGCTAGTGATACAGACGCAGAAATGAAGGTTTGGAGTTGAAATCAACAACAGTTTCTTCTCGGCTTTGACAAAATGTTAAAAAAAAGTTTGATTTCACTTTCAAAAGACTCAAAAAAGTGCCCTCAGTGTGGCTGTTGTGCGGCGTAGCACATTCCTCCACACTCAATAAACTCGGCTGAATCAATACGTCAAAGAGCAGACAGATAACGCTAAGCTCGGGCATAAATCTTAACCACCTCTAAAATCTTTTCATGTGCTATTACTCACAGGCCATATTCGCTTCAGTACAGTAAACATTGTGACAGGTACTTTGAGCTGCTGGTTCAAGAGGACAGAGGAAAGTGGATCATGCTTTTCAGCCTTTAGGGGGCCGGCAGAAAAGAAAAACCCTTAAGTAAAAAAGCTGTCAGGATGAATAAAGGCTCGCTTTAATGAAACATAAGCAGAGCGTGGAAGAAAGCCACCCCCAGAATCTGGAGACATGGGAGCACGATGTTCGATCTGAGATGCCGTTTTTAATTCATGTAGGTCAGATTTCTAAATTCCTTCAGTCCCTCTGGTTAATGCTTTAGTTTTCTTCACGTGTTTCCTCCGAATCATGAAAAACGGCTTTTGTAAAAACAGGGAATAAAAGTACGGCAGTGAATGCCTAATGCAAGAAAAAAAGATTTCTCATAATAACAGCATTTTTTTCTTTTAAATACAAACTTTGAATTGATTTGCAACACTGAAACAATTTATTAGACGAAATTTAAATAAAATCATTTCTCAGGAAAAGAAAAAGAAAAACACAAAATAAGCAAAAAAAAAAAAAAATGAACATGCTATTTTGAAATAAATAAGTCCAGTAAAATGAACGTCATGCCTTTTTTTGATGCAGCAAATGTGGGGAAATTTTTTTAATTTGAAAGAAAAAGAATTTCACATCAGATTTTTTTTTCTTAGCTGTAAAACACTTCTTTTGTTTTTTTTGTTTATGTGTAGCTTTTTCATTCTGTCCCCCTACTCAAGGAGACAGTTTACAACGCCCTCGAATTTTGATTTTGCTTTCAGAATTGAACCAAAATGAATTTTCACAAAAAAAGTTGCATCAACATATCAGCTGCTTGCTTATTTTATTATCCCTCTCAGTCGTCCACCTTGACACCTCCTCATATAAAACTATGGAGCCGTAATGAGTCCTCTTATCCTCTCTGGGTTGAGTCAAAGTCATCGTGCGTTTGTTCAGAGGTGACCTCACTCTCTACTCGGTCGAATTATGACATGAAAATGACGCAACAGTATGAACTTACATGGTGACATGTACAGTTTACAGTGAGTCAGGTAGAGCAGCACACTCTTCTTCTTCTTCTGCAGTTTGTGTCTTGTAGTGTAAAGGTCGTTAGAGCCATTGCTATTCTGGGTGTGCTTTGTTCAAACAAGCTGTCCAGCTGCTTTACATGAAAGAGAGAATTTGTAGCTTTGCTTCGAGAATAGTACCACAACGCAGCTGAAAAACATCAGTCAGTCGGAAATGAGTTCAAAGGAGGTGATAATTTGCATTTTCAGTTAATAACTAAACAAAACCACTAGATGTCATAGTCTTCTATACCCTGTTTAAACCAAGCTAGTTTCAGTCAAATACAGTAAGAGCTTTTAGTGAGAAACATGTGCACATTTGACACTCCTGTATGTAAAACAGACACTAATAAAGAAAAAAAATTAGAAAAAAGACATCAGAATGGTTAAACTTCTACTCTATATTGATATCTTTATTAACAATCATAGCCATGTTTTCAACAATGGAAGATTTATAAATATTTTTTTTAAACTTTTGATTCATAAAAGTTGTCTCGGCACTTGTGGCATGATTCCAGTTGTGGAAAAGAAAACAAAGACAAGTCTACATGTCCTTAAAGAAGAATACAGCGCTTTGGGAAGCTGTGGTATCCAATCAATCAGCAGCTTCAGAGTAAAAATCCATTATGTACAACGATGGCTTTATTTTGAAGAAGGAAGATGTGGTTCTGTGCCATGGGTTGGAGAGATATCGAGTGCATGGCTGGGTCCAGAAACCATCCAAAGCAGGACATCTGATTGATCGCATGGTCTCGCAATTCCCTTTTCTTTCCCCCCTCACTCCAGTCTGGAAACCATTTCCAGCTATTCCACTCTTTCTTCTTCTCGTTCTTCTTTTTTTTTCCCCACCAGGTCCATTTCTTTTTGAATCAGCTGCAAGGAAGGACATAAACATCTCCCCCAAATACTTCCACACTACAGAGCATCCAGACAGAGGGGGTCAGGGATTTCTGTCCTCCCAAAGATTCATGTGTTCAGGCTAAGGCCATGGGGCACCAGGGTTCTCCCCTCACTGAAGCTACGTCTGAAGGCTGGGACAGAGCCACGCTGGTGTACAGGCCGTCCTGTCCTGCGTACTTCACCGCCGAGCCCGAGCCTGCTCCCTCTGCTGAGCTGGACAACACGGACGAACTGACCTAAAACATCAGAGAGAGAAACAACACTTAATCAGGCAAGTAAGGATCCAAAAATAACCATTCTATGTTGAAAATGCTAGATACAGGTGATGTTTATTTACTTTTTTGCTATTAAGATTGCCTCATTCTGTGAATTTAGTGGTCATCTTATTGTAATCTCAATGTGACACATTAGTAAGGTGCAGTCATCACCACAGAGCATCTGACACCAGCATACATGTGATTTTGTTTAACCAACACCTGCTGTGACAAATGTGCTTTCACTTTCCAGAAAGAAAAAAAAAGTCCACTTTGAAATCATCAGCATTTCCTAGTGATTCATAACCACACATTTTTTTACATGTTTACTAAATAACCCTTCCTCCATGTCCTTATTAAATTTAATAACAAGGTCTTACCCCTGACACCTGTCCGGATGGAGAGCTGGTTTTTGAGCAGTCTTCAGAGTTAGATGAAGATGTGGATGTGGGAGTCATAGACACTGAGTTGTTATTTCCTTAAAAAAAAAACACACAAAAAAAACTGTTAATATCATTCAAAGATACATTTGGAAGAAAATTGTAGTCTTGCACATGCGCATAAATGATCAGTAACTCACCAGATGATCCCTTTGTTTTATTCAACGTTTTAGGTTTTCTTTTTCTTGTCTGGATTCCTTCTTTCTTCATGGCGAGCGGCCGAGGTACCTGCACATTTAGGATATTTTAATTTTCTTTTAAATCTTCATAATTTTAAATCCAGATGTGTAGAAATAATATTAAATCTGAACTCACCCCGTGTAATTTTGTGTAGAGCCCACACGCGTTACACACCGGTTCACCCTCTGCGTTTCTGCGCCACAAAGTGGTCGTGCTGGTTTGACAGTTGGCGCAGGACAGACCGATCCTCCTGGACGTCGACTGAGAAGATAAACATAAAAATTAATTCATAATAAGAATGAGCAAATAAGAAGGACATCCATTTAAAGCAAAAATCGACAGAATTTAAAGGACCTTAAGTCTTTAACTGAGTCTATACCAAAGCACACTCCACTAATTCAATTACAGCTCAGCCATTCACACCCTGTTTCCTAACAAAAATACGGCTGCCATTATGATCTCCATTTAACTGCCATTTACGCATGCCTTTTTACAGGATGTTAATTTTCAGGGGGGTCCGTAACTGACATCAGATTTCCTTGTAAAAACTGTGCGTAATGCGCGTAATGGCACCAGGAAGAGATTTGCCCTTATTGTGACATATTGAGATTGAATTACCCAGCAGACTGTATACGTGCCTGATTATAAACGTCAACAAACCCCTTAATCTAAATTTACTTTTAATAAAATAGAATATGTGTTTTCATGACCGTTTTAACTGAATTATGGGAATTATAACTCATCTTAACCGGATTCCAATTAACTTTCTGTTTGATAAATTAATATATTAAACAGGTTCATGTGTTAAAATGGTGGGTGGTTCCAAATCTTGACTTAAAAGCCAAAAGATTACGCGTGGATTTCTCAAATAGAACCCAAATTAATCGCCCAGATATGATGAGTCAGAAATTGTTCCATCATTTATAATCTGAATTGTTGCACTTATGTTTCTCCCCATGCATTGGACACTATGAGTATCACCGGTGATAACCTCCAGCTATTGTTAGAGACAATTAGGCAGGAAATTGAGCGGTTAAGTGCTCCCCTGACTGCTGCTTACCGTCCGCTTCTGAGGTTTAATTAATGGCCGGCTCAGCCCATTCATTTTGCTGTAAAGGCCGCAGGCGTTGCAGAGAAAGTGGCCCGTGCCGTCGCGCCTCCACAGCGGTGTGGAGATGGAGCCGCAGTTTACGCACTCTCTGCTCTCCCCCATGTCGTCGAGCATATCTGAAACTGACATTAAAAGCAATAATTAGAGAAAAGCACAGGATTCAGACTGGAAATATGACTGAAATTTGTAATGTTCAAGAAGGAAATACGTTGAGGAAACTTAACCTTACTCCAACATTTTTAATTAAGTAAAGAAATGAAGAAATGTTAGATTATGATTTTTATGACTACATTGAAATGTCTGGTTTTAGACCTGATAAGATGATAATTTATAAATAAAAATGTGTGACAATTTGATGGTTTCCTATGTTTGGCTCTGTGTTGTGTGTGTGCGCAGGAGAAGGCCTTACACTCAAAAACACTTTTGGAAACCAAATCCAGCCCAATTTAAACCAGAGAAGAATATTTTGGCACTACTTTGTTTTAAAAAAAATACCTTTTAGCAAATACCTTTTTTTTTTTTTTCTTTTTCTTTTGCCTTGTAAAGGTTAAGCCTTCACTAGGTTCTGTTGCAAAAATCTGCTGGGAGTTCTGCTGCCTTCCTTCAAGACTCAGTAAAATCTCTGACAAAAACTCTACAAAACTTCTGTCCACAACTTTGCCTTTTTTTTTTCTTCTTCTTCTTTCTTACCTCCATTTGGTCCCCGGATCAGTGGAGCTCCTCTGCTCTGCAAGGTGTGCAGCATGGTGTTATCAAAAGGTGCCCCGTTCCAGGGCGAGGCCAGCTGTGAGAGCTGCGGCGCAACATAAGGAGAGTAGGGGCTGGCGTAAGTCCCGCTGAGGGGCCGAGAGAGGCCGTACTGGTCTCTGCTGCTCACGTTCAGCGTGTTACTGTAGCTGCTGTCCCGGGGTGTCCCGTTGTTCATGGGCGGACTCGGAGGATAGTGGAACCTACTGGAAGCGTGTGGACTCCCCGTGCTGTAAGAGGGACTCTCCGGGGTGGACTGGGACCACACCGAGTGGCTGGAGACGGCGTGACTGGGCTGCGCGGAGCCGCTGGCCTGCAGGTAGGAGAGGCTGGGTATCATGGGGCCCACGCGGGAACTGGGCACGTACACAGGGGAGTTCGGGTTGGAGTGCATATAACCACCAGAGGAGGAATCATATCCCGTCTGGCTTTGGGCCGCAGCGATGGCCAGTGTTTGGTACATGTCGCTCGGGTCCACCAGCAGGCTCGCCTTGTGCGCTCCGCCAGAGAGGACCAGTTTACTGCCCTGGTCTAAATCCGTGAACAGAGGGATGTCCTCGGCAGCGCTCAGGCTGCTGTTGTGGTGTCCAAAGTGAACGTAGGAGTGTAGAGATCTGCCGTCCGAGCGGCGGTGCCCCAGGACGTCTAGGTCACTCGGAGGAGTCCTCAGCTCGTCCGAGGCAGGGCCGTCCCTCCTGCTGTCACCCGTCAGGTAGGTCTGCTCAGCCGGCGAGCCTGGGCTGCTGGAAACTTCTCGCTTGACCATGGACCAGCTATTTTCGCCCAGGTCCATCCAGGAGCACTTTCCATACACCGTAGGGGTTAATAAAAGATGGTCAGGGAGTAGTCTACCCTGTGATGAAATAAGGGTTGAACCGTTAGGATAACAGGATACGTTTTGCGCATGATAATATTTACGCATGGGTCCCCAAAAACATCTGGATAAAGACGTGGAAAATGTAGATCAACTCCTCATGCTCGGTCTGTTTTCTCTTTAAAAATACATCCTACATTTTCACAATAAAGGCCCCGAAAGCTGTTAATCAGAATATGTTTAGCTCGGATTGTCCTCAGACTCTTTCTCATCTATGACTCCGGTCAAACATTCACTGTACTGTGGCTGCCATACTCCCAACAAGCGCTTTTAAGAGGCGCTGGGTCCATCCATGTCAAATCTCTGTCCTCCCACACACACAAGTAAACACACACACACACATAAGAGATAGGAAACAAAACGCAATATGTCTTCACAGCAAAAGAGATAACCGTTTGATAAGACCCAAAAGAGATAAGGGCAGAGAGGAAGGCTGGAGCGATAAAACAAAACCCCGAAATGATGAGCTCGGTCCTGTAGCGCTCACAGCCAGATGTTTGAGGCAGCTGGATGAAGCTCGAGAGACAGAATACAGTAAAAGTAGGAGACATAAGACTCTTTCTACAACATACCTGCTAGTTGTTTGCCATAGGTCGCACGCAAAGTTCCTGATAGTGGCTCGCGCTGCTTCTCCTGGAAGTACTGGGAAGCGCTGGTGCGCTCTGACGACGTTTATGAGAGGAGGCGCCTCTGGGTGCTGCGGCTGCAGGAGGTGGACCAATCATGAGGAGTGTGAGCCACTGGAAGCACGATGGGGGTGCCAGCCTTAGGACTCCTCCAATCAATCACAGAAACGAGAGACTAAGAAAGAGAGAGAGAAACGACGTTGATCATGTCTGAGAGTTGTAATAGTTGTAAATGTAATCATCTTTTAGGAGTTTGTTTGATTTGGACACAGACGCCAAGCTCCACCCCTTCTCATTTGTTTTGATTTTTGATTGAATTTGACGTTATTTTTTAACTTTTGATTAATTACAAAGAGTTTTTTATCTATAGTTTCAACCTTACTGTTATTTTTTTTACTTTGAATGAATTACAGTTTTTTAAATCTATATTTTCGACCTAACTTTTTTTTTATAGTTTTTAAATGCTATTCAGTACCTACTTGTAAATGTACTGTTGGGTTGTTATTTTATGCTGAAAAGTTGGTTTAAATCAGTGAAGCTGAGTGCGCAAACATCTGTTTTTTACGCACTTTATATGAGTGCTTCCATTAGATTTTACCCTCTTACTTTTACTTAACACTTCTTTACAGTTGTCTTTCTATCATAATTTACAGGAATGGCTTCGGTTTAAAAAATCCCATGGTAAGTTCATATAATATAGCACTTAAGAAATTGTGTAAACCATGTTAATATTAGCCACAGGCTCATACAGAGGCGTAATATCCCATTTCCTCAAATATACACTATTAGCATTAATCCTTTAATACCATTTATTATAATGACATGTTTGATATTTTTGTATTTTGAAAAAAGCTTTTATTTTTCAATTGAAAGACATATTGAAACACATGTAACATTTCTCATGCTGCTTTTTCTGTCTTTTGATCAATAGCCTATTTGATCACTGACTGATAGGCTTTATAAGGCGACTTTGATTGCCACAGACAAAAAGTACAATAGATAGATATGGATCGTAATTATCTAGAACTCTAATTATTCAATATTAGATTTTGATTCCTAAAGATATACTGTAAAAATAGGTATATATGTCCATGCCCACGTTTAATTCCTGTTGTAACTCTTCAGCCAAACGATCGTCCCCCTCTTTGTTTATTCTCCATACACTCGCCACAGTGATCAATAAATCTGCCCCTAATTAGTTTATTTAAGTGAGACGCTCTCATTGAGGATTAAATGGTTCAGCTTTGTCCGAGCACAAACTCCCAGCACGTCTCTGCCTGCCGCCGTGAACAGCTCCACTTTGAACCCGCTGATTCGTTCAGCCTCAATATACAAAGAGAGAGTGAGTGGAGTGATCAAAAGTCGCGAGGTGCCAATTGAATCATTCATTCATCCATTCATTCATTCAAAGTGCGTCTCCTCCTCGTGCTTGTCCACAGAGCTCACAGGGTTGATCAGGCTGTTTGTGTATGTCTGTTTACATTAAACAGAGGACAACCCCCGAGCTCTGAGCTGGAGCTTCACCACAACTTCCCACTATAACCAAAACTTCGAACATGACTTCGAGCTTCTGTTACAACAGACTGAAAGGAAAACCTGATCCTGTACCATCAACTGCTGATAAAACAAACTTGAATTCCTGCTGTTACTGCTTCTACCATTGTCTCTGTGCTGTAATCATTACTACAATCAGCAACAACAATAGCAGCAGAAATTCAACTCCTAATACACTAATAATACTCCAAATTGGAATATGTTGCTGTTGAAATATCAGCATGACCTCTATCGCCACAAAAGTTAAACTAGACAGAGATTTTGATAAGAATAAAAGCAGATTGATCTTTTTTGTTGGAATATTTCATCTTTTGAATGATTTTACTTCCACAAAAAGTCTAAAGCTAAAACTGTTTATAAAAAAATATGCTGTCATTTCGTCTCCACAAATGCTGCTGCTAGGAAGTAGTTAGGTGTAGCTGAATTGGCCTTTAGATTTTTTTCCCTCTCTTTTTGTTACCATATATATACCTTTATGGGGGAATAAAGATGACATAAAATATTTATTTGTGGTTAAGGTTAAAGAGCCCAGTACGTTTATTACAGGCCTTCTCCTTTTGCCTCTACAGCTGATACTGCTAGGTAGCAGCAGATAGTGGTTAGATTAACCTGTAAAATAAATATTTTTGGTGATTGTGCTGGCTAAATATAATTAAAATATTTATATGAGGCTTTGGTTTAGTTTTGAGTAACTGTCACTCTAATTTTTCCAGAGACCCTTTCCTTTTGCACATACAGCTAGTATCTACTGCTAGATAGCAGTGGGCAGCCGTTGAATTGGCCTTTAATTTTTTTTCTTCTCTTTTTGTTACCATAAATATACCTTTTATGAGGGAATAAAGATGACATAAAATATTTATACATTGTTGTGGTTAAAGTTAAAGAGCCTATTTATTACAGGCCTTCTCATTTGCCTGTACAGCTGATACTGCTAGGTAGCAGCAGATAGTGGTTAAATTAACCTGTAAAATAAATATTTTTGGTGATTGTGCAGGCTGATTATAATAAAATATTTATATAAGGCTTTGGTTAAGTTTTAAGTCACTGTCAGCCTAAATTTATCAGAGACACTTTCCTTTTGCACATACAGCTGATATTTGCTGCTAGGTAGCAGTAAGCAGTGGTTGAATTAGCCTTTAATTTGTTTCCTCCCTTTGTGCTACCATATATATACCTTTATGGGGGAATAAAGATGACATAAAATATTTATGTGTTGTTGTAGTTAAGGTTAAAGAGCCAAGTACATTTATTACAGGCCTTCTCCTTTTGCCTCTACAGCTGATACTGCTAGGTAGCAGCAGATAGTGGTTGAATTAACCTGTAAAAGTAACATTTTTGGTGATTGTGCTGGCTGAATATAATCATAATATTTATATGAGGTTTGGTTAAGTCAGCCTAAATTTATCAGAGACCCTTTCCTTTTGCGCATACAGCTGATATTTGCTGCTAGGTAGCAGTGGACAGTGGTTGAATTGGCCTCTAAAGTTGGCCTATACATGTTTCCAAGTTTTTATATGCGGTTAAGTTTTGAGAAACCGTTAGCCAATGTAATAAAGGCATTCTGCTTAGCCTTTACAGCTGCCTTCTGCTATGTAGCAGCTGTTATCGCAGCATCTGCTCACACTAACTCTTCTTCTGTTACTAATAGCTGACTATTAATCCTCTAATTTTCTTTAATAGGAGCTATAATGAAAACCGCTGCCTAATGTGCAGCTGCTCACAGAACTACTGAATATTTTTCACAGTCACTTTCATTTTCTCTTGGAGTCAGTTTTTTGATGTGTTTGGCCAAAGCTTCTGGATTTCCATCACTGTTAGTGCAGCTGAAAATAAGACTAGACTTCCTGTATAAATAGACACTGTTCTGTCGTCTGGTAATGTCTGTGTGCCTACCTGTAGCTGTGTGTGTGTTTATAGGCCTTGTTAAAATATTATCAGGCTCGTCAAAGCGTCGGAATCATAGGAAGATAAAAAAATTTGCATTCATATTAAGCAACATGGAATCTCTATGCTCTGTATTTTATGCTCTATCTCGCTCTCGGATGTAAAACACCACCAAGCTCGCCTCTCCATCTGACAGCCCCGGTAAGCCTTGAGCTTTTGGAGCTGTGACTTTATCAGAGGGAGTAACCAAACTATTCCGCTACTGTCTCCCATCCCACCGTCCCCTGCGCGCAGTTGTCAGGAAGGTGCGAGAATACAAAACCCTGTTGTTGTTTTTTCTTCTTCTCCTTTCTCTTTTGCTCTCCCCCCTCCTCCTCCTCCTCTGTTCTCTCCCTCTCTCTCGGAGGATGATGAATGAGGTGTTTTCTCGGTCATGTCAAAGTGTGCTGCTCTGACACACGGAGCCTGAGAGGAGAAGTGGCAGGACGCCGCCCTGTCTCCACGTTTATCCACGCACGGTCAAACACTCCAGGCCTGCGTGGACGATAGCCGTGGAGGGGAGACACGGGCCTTTAATCCAATTATCTCAATCATACATTATAGTACTTAAAAAAAAAAACCTTTGAAATGTAAAGCCTAAACATTCAAGCCTGTTACTGTAAAACAATGAAAATTAATTATTTGGGCCCACTCAGTCTGGAATACTTGATCGTTTTTTTTCTATTCGTGGCGTATTTAAAAGAAATTTTAATCTGAAATGACTAAAATATTTATTTTTAAAAGCGTCTGATGCAAACAACTAAGAAAAAAAAAAAACAGTCCGGCAACCATTGATCGATTAATTGATTGATTGAAGTTTATTTTGAACATAAAAAATAATAAGAATAATAATAAAAAAGTAAAGAATACAACAACAAATGACAAAAAGTTATTCAAGTTAAAAAATGAGTTAAATACTGAATATATAACAAACATACTTGTGAGTTTCGTCTTGTAATTTTTTTTTTATCGTAGCCTTGAAAAATTACGATAAGTCAATCATAATAGCATAACTCTTCACAGTTAAAGTCAAAGCAATAATGATATTAATAAAAGGCTTTATAACAAAAAATATCAATGATTTATTGCTATATTATGTTAAAATCAACGTTAAGGCCTAAGTCACTCGTTTTTTTACGTTTATTTTTTGTTTATTTGTTTGTTTTCGTAAATCATCACGGCCAAAGTCGTTTTTTTTTTCTTTTCCCCGTTAAACTGGTTGACACTAATGGCCGTCCCTCTTCAGGTGTCAGAGCCTTATGTACAGACCTGATAATGATTATCTCTAACACTCCAGCTCTGTTATAAGCTGCTGCTGATGAGCCAATACTGCTGAGATATGCACCTTGTTATTCAGATAACAGGGAGAACGCTGAGTTCACAGATTTCTCTCGAGAAAACCAGGATTTATACCAGAATATTACCCACACTGGGAATTACACTTGTTGATAGTGAGTGTGCTGTGGAGCTATAGGATGGTCTGGTTGTTGAAGAGAATAAATGAAAATACAGATTTGAAAAACTAGAGCAAATACAATGTGGTT